AAGTGATCACCTACAAATCTCTTTTATGGAAGACCTTATACTTCCTAAAAGCATCTCCTAGTTGGGCTTTCTTTTCTATTATAAATAAAAGACTAACTTGATCCAGTATTCTATCTCAAATCATTTTAAACTTACTATTTAAATCTAGCCTACATATCCTCTGAAGACTCTCAGGTCATTTTCCAGTTGACAAACAGATCTAATATCTAGAATAAAGTCTAAAATAGTTATATCCAACTCTACTAAAAAACAAAAAAAGGAAAAGAGAGAAGGTACTTAGCAAGCATAAACACTACGCTCTCAAAAAATCTTTCTTAGAGAGTTCATACGATCTTTGTTCTTCTTCAGGGCAAATTCACACGTACTTTATTTTTATTTTTGTAACATTGGAAATTCCTTGGAAGTTCAGCTTATAATGTAGGTCAAGAAATAAGCACCATGTTATATCAAAAGCTAATAGAGTGTCTAGCCTCTGGTTTAGACTATACCAAGTGTCACAAAAACATTGCAATCCCACAAGAATAAGCCACTAGATATATTTCTATAATAAAAAGGCATAGGCTGATGTTTGATTACCTTATCAATCAACTGGCACCATTGCAGGAGCTATCAGGAGGGGAGTACCTGGGGCTGGACATTACACCTCATATATCTTTTTAGTGAAATGTTCCTGTCAATTAGGTGACAAGCCCATAACCATAAAAACTTACCTATTGAGTCTGACCCCTGCTGAGCTTGGCATTTACTTGTGGTCTAAACGTTGCTGGCATAATGGACCATTCCCATTTCCAGATTAAAGGTTTTAATAAACTCCACCAACTAGTTGACTTAAGCAGGTGATGATGAGAGTGGTTGTTTTGCTGCTTTGGTTGGATCAACAAGAGAGCACTGGGCTGTGGCTTGCCTGTGGCTTGCCCCAGAAGCATTCATCTCTGGGAAGACTTAGTGAGCTGTGATTTCTTAACCTGATTTTCTGAGACATCCAGATGAATTTGGAACAGTCGTGTCTTTTTGGCATGGTGATGCTTAATTTTTGTTGTCCCTGTTGAATTTACAAGCATTCATCAGGCTACCTGTTGACATAACACTTTACTGAGTGCTAGGGAAGGGGGACTGGTGTTGGTTCCCAATGATTTTGAACATGAGGGCATTCCTTTTAAAGTTATATTTTCTTAATCAGATGCTCACTTGTATATAAAATGTCAAAAAACCTATATATTTATTAATAGTTTTAAAAGGTTTGTATTTTTAAAATGACAATCTATTGTTCAGTTAGTTCAGTTCAGTCACTCAATCATGTCCGACTCTTTGCGACCCCATGGACCACAGCATGCCAGGCCTCCAACTCCTGGAGTTTACCCAAACTCATGTCCATTGAGTCGGTGATGCCATCCAACCATCTCATCCTCTATCGTCCCCTTCTCCTCCTGCCCTCAATCTTTCCCAGCATCAGGGTCCTTTCAAATGAGTCAGCAGTTCGCATCAGGTGGCCAAAGTATTGGAGTTTCAGCTTCAACCTCAGTCCTTCCAATGAACACCCAGGGCTGATCTCCTTTAGGGTGGACTGGTTGGATCTCCTTGCAGTCCAAGCTATCTCAAGAATCTTCTCTAACACGATGGTTCAAAAGCATCAATTCTTCAGTGCTCAATTTTCTTTATAGTCCAACTCTCACATCCATACATGACTATTAGGCTATTTATTAATAGTTTTAAAAGATCTGTATTTATAAAATGACAATCTATTGTATTAATTAATATATACAGAAAATATAGTATATAATATTGTTAGTCTCTAGGAAATAACATACATGGGTTCTGATTCCTATATTCCTTTTAGCAAATTCATGATCACTCAAGGGTCCAAATATTGGCCTCAGCGTCTTCAAGCTAGGAAATAATGATGTAACTCCACAGATGAAATAGACTACAATGGAAGTAGGGTTTATTGGAGTTTTAACATTTAGAATAAAAATTTGGAACTATGTAACCGTTGTTCAATTCAGAGCCATGTGGTGTACTTATCCAACATCACAATCTTGGTGTTACCTGAAGAAAAATGTTCCTAGTAAAGTTTAAACAGATTCTCTTTTCTTATACTCCTTCTATGTACAATTATGTCATAGTTTGGTTTGCTTCATATCCTGATTGTAACATTTTTTATACAGTTGTATGTTTTACTTGGAGCATTCAACTGTCTTTTATTTTTGTTGAGGTTAAAAATATGTCTTCCTAAGGATATTACTCATGTCTTCTTGCTTCTTCCCTACTATCTATTGCCCAGAATTCAGTTCATTCTATTTCCTGAAGATATTTTTTGAAGCCAATGCTTTCTGTTGTAGTATAAACTGATTTCTTTCTAGATCTAATAATACCTACCTTTTTGGGATTTCTTTTCATTGGATTCCTGGGTTAATTTTGTTGTCTTTCATGATATATCTTCTCAATTTTAACCCTCACTGAGATGGAATATAGCTTTGAGAGACTTGTGAAGAATGAATATGGGAGGTAAATATTCTCTCACCATTTGAATGGTAACATACTTTAGCTTCAAAATAATTTTACCTTAAAATATTGATGACACTGTTTTCAGTGTTTCTGATGAGATCTGTATTATGAGCCTGAGTCTACTCCTTTGAATATACACCTGCCAGGTAAAATATGAGGTCAGTTAAATTTGAATTTAAGATAATCAACAATTTTTTAGTAAAAGTATGTCCCATGCAATGTGTGATATTTTGAGCATATTTATACTAATAAATTATCCATTGATTATCTAAAATTCAAAAGTAATTGCAATGTCTTGTATTTTTATTTGCTAAATCTGGCAACCCTACTTGAAAGTCAGCAAACTTTTTCCTTATAAATAACTTATAATTTTCTCATTACTCTTGGTGTTTTGAAATTTCCTAAGGATATGTATAAATGTGACTTTATTTATTTTTAATAAAAATTTATATACATAAAAAGCTATTTTTATTTAAATAAAAATATTTATGCATTTTAATTAATTAATTAATTTTAATTAGAGGATAATTACTTTATAATATTATGGTGGGTTTTGCCATACAGTGACATGAATCAACCAGGTTTTTAAAATCCATATTGCTTAGTACATTTGGGCCTTACAACCTCTTTCAGCTTTGAGAAATTTTATCTATTTTTTGGTAATAATTTTCTTCCCTTCATTTTCTGTTTTTGAGAATCTTAATTAGCTTGATATTGGGTCTTCTGAATTAAATCATTATAGCTTTAATATTTTTGCTTCTGTTTTCTGAATCTACCTTTCCCTTTATGTCCTGATGTGTTTACTCAATGTTAACTCCAAAGTTTACTCAATATTAACTCCAAAGTTTTTGGTAATCAAAATTTTAATTTCTAAGAATTCTTTATTATGTTTTACATGGTCATTTTCTTGACATCTTATCTTCAATTATGGACACACTTGTTCTCATATATCTTCATGGATATAAATTTTGCTTGGTTTTGGTTTAAATTCTCAACAATTTCCCAGATCATTTTCTATTTCCTTTGGAGTCAGTTTTGACTGTTTATCTCTATTTTGTTTTTCAGACATTCACCCTCATGTATTTGGAAGTCATTTTTTATCCACAGTTAGGGATGAAGGACAAGGTAAATGATTTTAGGTAGTGGAGAAGATTTCCTCCGTTACATACTTCTCCACTGAATAGAAAGGATGACAAGAAGCTCTTCATATGCCAGTTGACCTTACCAGACTCTGATGAATGTAAGCAGATGAGGTGCCTGGAACCTTCTATATGCCAGAATTACTGTTCTAGGATCCCAACACTAATGGGTCTAGTTCTCCTTTTTTTTTTTTTTTTGGAGAAGAGACATATTTACCCCCCTTAGATTACAGCTGTGCTGCTTGTCACTTTTGGGAGGGAGTGCATTGGTCACCTCCCAATTGGCTTACTTCCTTTGCAGATGTCCTGAGTTGTAAATTCTATAGTTTTGTTCCATTTGCTTTTTGTCTTCCAGAAATTTGTTGAAATCATGAATTCATTGGTGGTCCCTCCTCATTTTCTTCATTGTTACAGATTGAGTTTATTAAAACAATTCATGGGGAGTATTGGGAATGAGAGAAGACAAATGGATGGATTCAGTTTATAATCTTGAACAAGAAGTTCATCCCTTTCATCTCACTTTCTATCACTTCCTTCTGAATGTTCTCTAATGAAAATATTTTATATCTTCAAAGATGCATTTTAATTTACAAATCACATTTAAGTGCATGCTCATTTACCCTTCAGAAGTGGGTACACATGTTTTTATAAAAATAAATGTTTAAAAATAATACCTCACTTCTTTTCTGAAATAATGACATAGTATATGTGAATGTGCCTAGTATAATAACTAGTACAAAACAGTTGCTCAAAAAATATTGTATTTTTTAGTATTTTATTTTCAGAACTTAGGGCTCAAGCACATTTTCTGTCATGTTGGTACAAAGAGATATATGGGTATGAATTGCTTGAAAAAGAAATGAAAAAAATACCTATCCCTAATCTACCTTGTGGTTAGAAGTAAGGATTAGTGATCAAATTTCCATAAAATATTTTAAATTTTATGATAAAAATAAAGTCAAAGATTTTTATCTTTTAAGATAAAAATAAGTCAAAGATAAAACTTACTGTGAAACTTGTGAAATTATTTATTCTACTGTAGCAAACACTGTTGAATACTTCTAAACACAGTGACAAGCTATTTTTAAAATTAAACTCTAGGTTTATTAAATCATGAAAATGCCACATGACTGTGATTTATACATGAGACACCTGAAGATCATAGGGTTTGAGAAGTTTACCCAAGGTTAAACAGCAAGTGAATAACTGAACTAGAGCTCAAACCCAGATCTTCTGACATCAAACGAATACCCTTTCCTCCATACCACTGATTTGCAGGCTTCTAAGAGGAAATTCGCTGCATGATAAGAATGAACTTGTTCTGCCACTTAAATATTAATAATGTTTTATTTTCAGTGAAATTGTATGCTTTAACAAGTCAAGTCATCAATGGTGAGATGCAGTTCTATGCCAGAGCTAAACTCTTCTATCAAGAAGTACCAGCTACAGAAGAGGGTATGATGGGAAATTTCATTGAACTGTCCAATCCAGATATCCAGGCCTCTCGGAAATTTCTCAGGAAATTTGTTGGGGTGAGTATCCAACTGTAGTTTGATTAGGAAGCAAAGTTCTGGCAAACAATGAGCTCATATGCTTCTGTGTTGTCACTTCAGTCATATGAAAGCTAAATGGGTGAGCCATAGTTTAGTGTCAAAGCCTGTTTTGAGAGGTTCAAAAAGGATGGGTCACATTAAATGACTGGTTTATCCTAGTTGGCATTTCACCCTCCTAGAACCAGCTTATTTCTTATGCTTCAGGAGAAGGTGAGCTAGCAGTGTTAATATTTACAAGTAGTAGATTAAGAAGACTTCTCTTTCAGATCCCATAGATAAGCAGTTGACACTCAGATGACTGATGAGAGATCATGCCATTTGGGATCTTGGGGTGATTTATTGAGTCTCTGTAATAAAAATTCAATATTGCAAGGAAATGCAGGCTTATATTTAGTTTAAAAATGGTAAGTATAGTAAAATATCTTTATATTGTTTTATACACAGTTGAGACATTGCCTTGAAAAAATGTGATCCCTTTATAGACTTGGTGTTGGGTAAAACTCCAGTTCCTTACTTTCAGACCATATGGAGATGGGTTATTTACTTTAGGGGCCAGAATCTTGGGCTCCAGAGTCATTATGGTCCTTCTTACTGTATAAGCCACCTTGGGTTTACTCCTTAAATTCTCTTAACCTCAGTTTTCTTACCTGTGTCTAGAGTATAACCACAGAACCTATCTTGTAGGATAATGTGAATCTCAAATGAGATACTATATGTCAAATGTCTACTTTAGTGCACATAATTATTATGCAATATAGCTCATTTATTGCTACTACTGATAACAAGCTTTCATATAATTTGGTCATTGTATTTTATGGAGCTTCATTTAGTTGGGGCTTCCCTGGTGGCTCAGATGTTAAAACATCTGCCCGCAATGCAGGAGACCCAGTTTCGATCCCTGGGTCAGGAAGATCCCCTGGAGAAGGAAATGGCAACCCACTCCAGTACTCTTGCCCGGAAAATTCCATGGACGGCAGAGCCTGGTAGGCTACAGTCCACGGGGTTGCAAAGAGTTGGACACGACTGAGCGACTTCACTTTCACTTTTTTATTTAGTTTTCAGAACAGACAACCCACACAATAAAGCTGCTGTTGGTTCTACTGAGAACAAAGTCCTAACTAGCAAACAGGTTTTGTTCCAATTCACTATGAAGTTATTCATCTGAAATTGGACTCCATTTTATTCTGATGAAGGAACCATTAAGAATATTACAAATATTTGGGATTAGGTTATCAACCTATTTAGAAGCATAATATTAACAGTTTCCCTAGTGTTGAGGTGAGGTTTACTTTATATCCAACTTTCTCTGAAGCACCCTTTGCCTGAGTACAGAAAAATAGGATCAGGATGGAGCACTCATTGGGGCAAAGTGTCTGGACATCAACTGTGGCCATAAAGGACTATGAAACTAGAGATGATGGCTGGGGTTATTTATAGATAAGGTTAACCTGAAACATTTTAAAATCAGTGTTACTGACTGACTTCACTGAGCACTTTATCTGAGATAGTCACTTTGATGAGCAGTTTAGAAGCACTGTCTTATCTGTTCTTCATAATAATTTAGGGAGGTAAGTACTATTATTATTTCTCATTTTCATGGTTGGGGAAACTGAGGCTTATAGAGATTAAGTACATTTTCAAGGTTATGCAGGTGGTAAGAGACAGAGCTGGGACTCATGCCTGGCAAGGTCTGTCTGATACCAAATTCCCAGCTCTTATCCACGACATATTTTTCCATTTGTTTCATGAAGCAGAAAAAATCCCTGCTCTCTCTTTCTGTGTGTGTGTGTGTGTGTGTGTGTGTGTGTAGACCACAGACCTCAACTCTCCCCGACTCTGGCCAAGAGCAATCCCTCCTGCTCGCCTTGAGGTGAAGCTGACTTTGATCCCAGTGCATTTCAGAAGCTTAGTCAGTAATCCGGCTGTCTTGTCACTCCATGTGGAATGCCAAACTGACCACAGGGATGCTGGTCAGACAGAGCCCATACACAGGCCCACGGACCTGGGAAAGGAAACAGCCTTCTGCTGGCATATTTATGTTGGAAATGAGCAGTCTGCTCTTTTCAAACAAATATAAGGAGTCCTTCTTAGTAGACAGGGCTCATTGTGAAGCTGTGACCTCAAAGTACAAACATAGTCTTTTTAAAGAAACGATATTTTGGTACTTTGACCTTAATAATATGCTAAATTAGTATCCAGGTCAAGATACAAGGCGTTAGGGAATATGAGTATCTGACGTGATTTATCCTTGTGTCAACTGGGAAAAGGCAGATTGTTTAATTTCAAGTTTTGCTTTTCTTTCAACACTTAGTGACCTGGGACAGTGAGAAAACACTTTTAAACTTGTTGCAAATGTGCTTACTTTAGCAAATAAACAAATGATATCAAGATAATATCAATGGCATAGCTGATAACATTCCTTACTTTTAGCTTTTTGAGGGGAAAGTAAAAATTTATAAAAAGTAATTGGTATTTGATGGTTTTATCTCTTGATATTTCTCAGAGATTGGATGACTGAAAAATTGGGGGCTAACTGTATTTCATGGTTTTTATACAGTGGTATTTAACACTTTATTTTCAAACTCCAATGAAAACCTTCTTTTCAATGAAAGAAGGTTAAATAATGTTCTTTGAAACAAAATACATAGGCAGAATCAAAATGAAAATGAAATTTCTAAGAGTATTTTACTATTTTATATGAATCCATAAATATGAAGATAGGGTAATAAAAGTAAAGTTCTGAAATCACACATTTATGTGGTTTTGGTCACATTCACAGAGGTGCATAAAATTTCAATCTAAGCACAGTAATAAGCAGCCATAGTGTCCAAGAGAGTAGAGATGCTGTCCCAGAGGTCAGTCTTTAAATGTCTCTTCTCAGAGGCACAGCATGAGAATGAGAGAAGAGGAAAAAACCTGGTCCCAGGATATTTGAGGCTGTGCCAAACACGTGGAATGGCATGGAATAAAGACAACTAGGCAGTAGTGGTGAGGGGCAAAGGTGCACCAGATTTGAGTAAAAGGCATCTTTTGTATATTTATATAACAGTTTTTGTGTTTGCGTATTCATGTATAACATGTATAACAGTGTATTTGTGTGTATATATCATGTATTTTGTATTTATATTATGTATAACAGTATTTGTGTATTCGTGCGTACGTGCGTGCTCAGTCACCTCAGTCATGTCTGACTCTTTGTGACACATTGGACTGTAGCCTGCCAGGCCCCTCTGTCCATAGGGATTCTCCAGGCAAGAATCCTGGAGTGGGTTGTCATGCCCTCCTCCAGGGGATCTTCCCGACTCAGGGATTGAACCTGTGTGTCTTAGGTCTCTTGCACTGGCAGGAGGGTTCCTTCCCACTAGCGCCACCTGGGAAGTTCAATTGTTTTGTAATATAACTGTTGTTTCAAGGATAGCTACAGTCAAATATCATACATACATAAACGCACACACACACATATATATACGTACATACACATGTTTATTTCACAGATATATACTGGCTGTGTGTGTGTGTGTGTGTGTGTGTGTGTGTGAATGTATATTACTTTATAGAAGCAAGTTTGAGAAGGTTTTCATTGGCTGATATCCTCCTATCTCTATTAACTATTCATCTTTCACCGTCAGTTAATTTAATTAAGAATTTTATTTTTAAAAAGTTTAAGGGCTTTTTGTCCAATAAGTCATGTGCTTTCTGATGCAAAAGCAGAAACAATTTGTAGCACGAAAAGAGACAGGGGGACTTTGCTGCAGCTACCTTTTATCCTCATGAATATGCTATATGCCATCAAGGTTGAGTTTGAAGTGAAATTCTGGCCTGAGAATGGAACAGATTGCATTTCCTCAGCTCAGGTTCTAAAAGTTATCTTCCACACAAGAATGGTAGATAATTCAGAGCCCCCAAAATCAGTTTTGAGAAAAAAATAAAATTTTAATCATCCACCCCAGTATGAATTGAAATGTGTTCACTGCATGAATTTGAAAAGCAATTTTAAAACTCTGAAAGATTCTCTCTGCTTTGCTCTCTCTTTTTCTACAAGGCAGTAAACTACAGTAAAAGTCCATTTGCTATGGGCTTGACCCAAATTGGTAATTAACAAAATTCTACTTTCATAGGACTTTAAATGGCCCACTTCTTATAAAACATTACCTAGTTCTCAAACCTAAGACATTTTCTAAAATCTTATTTTTTAATTCTTTGAAAGACCTATATTTGGATAAAATAAAGAAGGCAAAAACTAGAGATGTTTGGATATGTTTTGAAAAAAGTCATTGAATGTTTTATAACTTGACTCTGGCAGTGGGTGCGTGCATTCTAAAGTTGCTTCAGTGCTACAACTCTGTGCTACTGTATGGATTATAACCTGCCAGGCTCCTCTGTCCAAGGGATTCTCCAGGCAAGAATACTGGAGTGGGTTGCCATGCCCTCCTCCAGGGGATCTTCCCGACTCAGAGATTGAACCCATGTCTCTCATGTCTCCTGCATCTGCAGGAGGGCTGTTTATCACTAGTACCACCTGGGAAGTCCACAGTAGTGGGTACATACCTGTATACATTGTCCAGACTCCTTGAATGGTACATTTAAAACAGTACATTAAATTTTATGTGTGTTGTGTGTTAGTTGCTATGTCGTGTCCGACTCTTTGCAACCCCATGAACTGTAGCCTGCCAGGCTCCCCCATCTATGCAATTCTCCAGGCAAGATTAATGAGTGGGTTGCCATTCCCTTCTCCAGGGCATCTTCCTGACGTAGGGATCAAACCGAAGTCTCTTGCACTGTAGGCAGATTCTTTACTGTCTGAGCCACCAAGGAAACCCACATTTAATTATATGAACTTGACCTAAATGAAGTTTACTTAAAGAGGTAACTGAGTGTCAAGACTCGGGGTGAGTGTCTGTCATTGGACTGTTCCACAAGGTACCTTTCTGCAGGGCCCTGGGAGAGCTGGGACGGACTGTGCCTTGGACTGCGGCTCCGGGATAGGAAGGGTCAGCAAGCATGTCCTGTTGCCGGTTTTCAACACCGTGGAACTGGTGGACATGATGGAATCGTTCCTCCTTGAAGCACAGAACTACCTGCAGGTCAAAGGGGACAAGGTAGAAAGCTACCACTGCTATAGCCTGCAGGAATTCACACCCCCACTGGGAAGATACGACGTCATCTGGATTCAGTGGGTCATTGGTTAGTTCTGCATGGCATTGCATCTTCCCTGCTCCTCGCTAACTGGAGGGCTTGAGGAGGCAGAACAAGGACACAAAGGGATATTTGGCTCTAGCTGCACTGAGAACAGTTAGCTAGTCTAACATATAACGGGAACTCCGCCAATGCTCTGGTCCTCTGGATTCTACCCCTAACATCCACTGAACAAGGCTGGCGATTCCCATTCTTAGGATGAAGTGTCTTTGTGCCAACCTAAATCCTAGAAGAAAACTGGATATTTGAAAAACTTTAAAAAGTGTATCCCCATTATTGACAAACCTTGGCTTTCTTAGATTTAAATTCTCAGGAAATGAGATAGCAGTGAATTAGATTTTGGTCTCTGTGTGTGTGAGTGTGTGTGTGTGTGTGTGTGTGTGTGTGTGTGTGTGTGTATGTGTAGGACACAGAGGAATGATAGCAGAGTTGAGTTGTTCAGCAGACACGGAGTGAATCCGAGGGATGAGAAGTGGTTTCTTCTGTGCCTGGGAGGTAGATAGACTAGGTTGGTATAATAGCTGTTTTACAGAGCGTGCACTGATTCCCCTCAAAGATGATACCTGCCCTCTTACCTAAATTCTCAAAGCCTCCCGCAACAAAACAAGGCAGGCTATGAAATAATTCCTGAATGAGTGAACAAACAAGCTCCCGATTTGTAACCTTGTGCCCGTTCAGTCTTTCCTACTCACCTCCTTCCCCACCCACCCTTTCATCCTGTTCCCCCATTTACTTGGCCTCACCTGTAGGGTACCTGACCGATAAAGACCTTCTTGCGTTTCTTTCCCGGTGCCGAGATGGCCTGAAGGAAAATGGCATCATCATACTGAAGGACAATGTGGCCCGGGAGGGCTGCATCTTCGATCTCTCTGACAGCAGCGTGACTCGGGACATGGACATCCTCCAGACCCTCATTAGGAAGAGTGGGCTGGTGGTGCTGGGCCAGCAGAAGCAGGACGGCTTTCCAGAGCAGTGCGTCCCGGTGTGGATGTTTGCGCTGCACCGCGATGGAAGCTCCTGACTAGCTGCCGGAGTGAACGACTGCCCTGCACAGTGGTGCTTTGGGAAGAGTGGCTCTCCTCTGATTCACAAGTTACATCCCTTGTGATCCATGGAGGAATGAACAGAAGGGAGGCAATGTATGTTTCAAAACAGTTGATGTCACGTTTCCACTAATTATGTAAGTACATGCACACACGCTGTGACTTTTCCAAAAGATAAGTGGAATGTGACATCTGGAAAAACATCTAAACTGTACCAGTGTAACCATAAAAACAGGAAAAGGAGCAACATCCACAAAATATAAACTGCGTTGGTCTCTGAAGATTTGCATTAAAGAGTAGTTTAGGGTGGGTGAGATGAAGTCTAGACCACCTTTCTATACCCTCATGCTAGATACTTTATACTTCCTTCCTTTGGGAATATTACTTCTCTTAGAAAAAAGTCTCCCCCTAATTAAGAAAGCACCAGTGAAAATAACCTTGTAAAACAATTCCATTACTTAATTTTGTCTTTAGCAGAAAAAAAGAATATGGTTTCACTTTCTATTTTGGGTCAGTTTTGCTGTCCAATGATGTAATATGGATGTAATTTCTTAACAGAAGTCTGCATTTCAGTGATGGGAAAGTGTCTCCTTTCAGGAGAAAATGTTTTACGCTTGAATTTCAGCTGTGAACATGTAAGTGAATGTCATTGATAATCTAGTCACTGGCTTCTAACACAACTTGCTTCATTGCAGTTGCTCCTATTTCCTTGATTGATAAGAATGTACACTGGAAAGAGATAGGAAATGGTAAACCTGAAAACTGAACTAACTGCATTAGTTTAATTAAAAATATCTAAAATCTTTCAAAAACAAAAATGTAATTTAATTTCTATTAGCAAAATGTTTAAATATAACTCCTATTTTATTTAAATGCTCTAAAGTCTTCATGTGAATGATTTGTCTTTTGATGTATTATATATTGAGTCTTCTATGAAATACAATCAGTTTAAGTAAATAAAGTCTGTTAAATGCATATGCTATCACCCTAAAATCATTTTTATAAGTCATAGCTCTAAATTAAGAGGAAAATAATTATTATAAAACACTATGTTGATATAGCATGACTTAGTAGTTTGATTTTATGTCCTGGAAAATTATGTCACTCTGACACTGGCACCTTCCAGCTGTAGTATGTTATTAATAACATTTTAGGGTAATGTAACAGAATGTGAGTTAAAACCATTACTGGAGAAACCAGAGACCAAAATTAAATAAAATGGTGAATCATTACCAAACAGAATTACTATGACAAAACAAGAATTCTCATGTTTTCATCCTCTATGTATTGGAAAAAATTAACTAAATCTTCATTTTCAGCCCATCCTAGGAATTTTCTGCTTCTTTTGCACTTAACACCCTTATTCTCTTACTTCTTGACTTTCTGCTTTGCAAGTACTCACGTGCTGATTGACACAGTTGTCCATTCCTCAGCACCCCGGGTCCTGATCTCAAGGAAGAAATAACATAATTGTCCCATTAATATGGATACATAATCTTTAATTCGGTTGAATCTTTGGAATAGATTGGCAGTCCCTTTCCTCTTCCTATGTCATTTTCTGTTCTTAGAAAACTTCCAGATTTTTATTGTGCCACAAAAATTCCCAACTCCATATCTATTTTTGACTTAATTGATAAAGCAAAAATTAGGAAGTAAATTATACCACTAGCTCCTCTCTATAACAAGTTAATAACTAGTACAAGGTAAAGGGAAGAGTGGGCTTTCCTGTTGCCTTGCAGTCAAGAATCTACCTGCCAATGCAGGAGACATAGGTTTGGTCCCTGGATCTGGAAGATCCCCTGGAGAAGGAAAAGGCAATCTACTCCAGTATTCTTGCCTGGAGAATCCCATGGACAGAGGAACCTGGCAGGCGACATAGTCCATGGGGTCTCAAAGAGTCGGATACAATTGAAGCAACTGAGCATGCAAGCGTGCGTGGACTGTAGTCCACCAGGCTCCTCTGTCCATGAAATTCTCCAGGCAAGAATACTGGCGTGGGTTGCCATGCCCTCCTCCAGGGGATCTGCCTGACCCGGGGATTGAGTACTCATCTTATGTCTCCTGCATTGGCTGGTGGGTTCTTTACCATTAGTGTCACCTGGGAAGCTCAGGCTACAGTCCATGGAGTTGCAAAAGAGTCAGACAGGATTTGGCGACTAAAGGGAAGAGTAGCTTGAGAGGTGAGGCCATCAGAGTCAGAGCATGCTGCTGATAGTTCATGCGCAGGTTAGGGTGTGTTTAAAGAACAATGGAAATATCTGAGGTTACCAGAAGGGGCTGAATTTTCTGGTTTTAGGAGTAGAGTCAAGGATTCTACAGAAGGAAGACTTTTGGAGTGAGATATACTCCAGCCGTCTTCAACAAGGCAAACATATTTCTGATGTTTATCAACACATCAGTGTCGTATGGTGAGTGACAATCTATATTAAGTCATAGTCCAAGTGCCCCCAAATCATTTGGGCAGTTTTTATAAGATAGAGATTCCCAGGTCTTGTCCCCATGAGAATCTGATTCTTTGAAATGGGATCAAATAGCTTGTATTTTTTAAGATCTCAAACTGATTCTGATCATTACTTTTGAGGATACTGATAAAAGAGGTATTGAGCTGGGCTCTTCAGAGTCAAAGGAAGATAAGATAGGGCAGGCAAGACGCAGGGTTTAGGGAAGTAGATGAATGCTGAAATTCATTCTCCACAGCAATGCTAGCTTTCTAAAACCTAAACTGACCATGTTATGTATAAACTTCCAATGACTCCCCATCACTGATAGGATGAATTCCCATCACCTTAGAATGACATAAAGCCTTTTGTGATCTAGTCCTGGCTTCTCTCTCCAGCCTCAGTTTTCCCACATTTCTTGAAATTGTGCTTAACTACTTATAGATCTCTCAAGGAGCTATGACTTACGGCACATGGCATTTATAGATGTTACTTCCTTATTTCTCATTCTTATTTTATTTTGTTTTTTAAAATTTTTTGGCCATGCCACATGGCATGTGGTATCTTATTTTACCGACCAGGGATCGAACCCATCAATGCCCCCTGAGCATTGGCTGAGCCTGGCTCAGTGGGTAAAGAATCTATGGGCAAGGCAGGAGACACAGGACACACGGGTTTAATCCCCAGGTCAGGAAGATCCTCTGGAGGAGGAAAGTGGCAACCCACTCCAGTATTCTTGCCGAAAAATCCCATGGACAGAGGAGCTTGGCGGGCTACAGTTCCTGGGGTCCCAAAGAGTTGGACAACACTGAGCAACTAAGTACACATGCGTGTTCTAACCACTGGACCATCAGGGAAGTTCCAGAATATCTCCCATTCTTTTTTGTCTGTCTCAGACTGCAAAGATATTACTGACTTTAGGAAAGCTTCCTTCCAGGTGCTGGGTTAGATGCCCCTCCTATGTGCCACCCTCATACCATCTGCTTAACATGTCACAGTACTTACCATGTACCATTGTAATTGCCTGCTTACCTGTCATTTCCTCTATTAAACTCTGCGCTCCTCAATGGGACATTCATGTTAGAGCCTCAGTTTTTAGCATATGCCCTAGTTGTTGTTGTTTAGTCACTAAGTTGTATTTGACTCTTTTGAGGCCCCATGGACTGTAGCCTGCCAGGCTCCTTTGTCCATGGGATTCCCAGGAAGGAATACTGGAGTGGGTTGCCATTTTCTTCTCCAGGGGATCTTCCTGACTCAGGGATCAAACCCATGTCTGTTGCATTGGCAGGTGGGTTCTTTACCACTTGCCCACCAGGAAAACCTATATCCCCTACTACACTGAAGTGACGTAGTGAAATGAAAGTCACTCAGTTGTGTCCAAATCTTTGCGACCACATGGAACATACTGTCCACAGAATTCTCTAGGCCAGAATACTGGAGTGGGTAGCCGTTCCCTTCTCCAGGGGATCTTCTCAACCCAGGGATTAAACCCAGGTCTCCTACATTGCAGGTGGATTCTTTACCAGCTGAGCCACAAGGGAAGCCCAACTAATACACTGAAGGAAGTCCAAATTTTACTGAAAGTATGTAAGTAGAGAGACTCAGGGGACAGTCTGTTTCAAGAGGCATCAAACAGGAATCAGAGCAAAGCAGCAAGAAAAACCAAGAGCTTCTGAAGTTCCATCAGCACTGGAATGTACAAGATAGGTCCAAGGAGTGACAAAGCAATGTAAACTGGCAAGAACCAGGAAAGGAACAGAAATAAGACAGCAGTAAGCTCAGGGGTCAGACGTATGGGAGAAGACTATAGCAAGAAAGTTAGGTCCTGGGGCAAAATCCTGCCTAGTTAGGAAATCTCTTTTTTCAATAGGGGCCAGTTCAAGGATATGGTCAACCAAAGACCCATAGTTCCATTAGGTGGGAAGGCATACCTCATAAAAGAGACATGTTAAAATTGTGAGTGAAACTGAAAAACAAACCAAAAAAAGTGAAAGTGTTAGTCACTTAGTCGTGTCTGACTCTGCGACTGCGTGGAATTCTCCAGGCAAGAATTCTGGAGTGGGTTGCCATTCCCTTCTCCAGGGCATCTTCCCGACACAGGGATCAAACCAGGGTCTCCTGCATTGCAGGTGGATTCTTTACCATCTGAGCTACCAGGGAAGCCCTAAAATTGTGAGTAGGTCTTAACAAAGCGACTTGTAATCCTCATCTGCCTCCTGTAAAGCAACAAGTCCGAAGAAGCAGCTAAACTTAGAGGAAGTCATTCCTTTTCTGAAAATTGAAGAGAAGTGGAAGGTGTGCACCTGTACTTCATAGATGAATTAATCGCAAACATGTCTGCAATTGTAGGTGAACTTTGGAGGACCCCTTGGTTTATCCAATGATTCATGAAAGGGTGCAGTCTTCACCTACCTCCTCTTCTGAGAACCTGAGCCACCACTCCTCAGCAATAATATAGAAGCATGCCAAGTCTCAAGGGGTCAACAATTTTATAGATTCAGGATCATCATAAAAATATAAAACAAAATGAATAAGGTCAT